CAAGAAAGAGAAGAAAAAAATTAATTGAATGTCACATTTGTGAAGACGATAAAATCTTGATAATCCGGTTATACGCTGAAGATGATTCCTACTTTAAATAACAAATAATGCAATATAATGCTCCATAATCGACATGCGGCGAATACTAAAGAGATGAAAGTCAATCACACGACAAACCACATGCTCGAGAAGTATTTTCAGGTGCATTTTTCAACAATTATTCAGTAAAACAGTAAATAACTTTGATGGAATACTTTTTTAATGAAACAAAGACAAAAATATTTAGAATATTCCGTCAAAGGTGACTTCATAAATTAATTCAACATATGTACAAACGGTATCCAAACAGTATGAGAATTTCGGAAGTCAGAGAAATTCTCTTAAGACACTCTGTGCAATCTGCACTGGAGCATTAAAGCCACCTGCACATTTAAATTTAGTGTCAAAGTGAGATATAAAATTTCCCGCCAGATGCAATTCTCTCTCTCAATAAAGAGAAATTTCAGCAATTTTTCACTCTCACCCCTGCTTTTTATTCTTTCGAAAAAGCACCCTCACTCACATGTAATGAACACATTATCAACACATAAAATTTTCATGATTGGAAAGGTGCAACAACAGGGCGACAGACGAAATTAAGGAGAGAGAAAAAAGTCATTAGCCATGTTAATCGAAACAGAACATCATGCTCAAGCGTTTCAGGTTATTTTTCTCATCACATTTCCTCCCCCCACAGGAGAAAAAAAGGAACGACAACCGAGTGTACGATTAAAATTAGATTACTGTAGCTAATTAAATAAACACTGACACAGTGAAAGTCTCCGTGCACTACCCTGAATTTCATTCTACCAACTGCATTCACAAACTCAATCAAAATCATTTGGAGGAGAAAAGTAACACAGTTTTGAAATGTGCAGCAACAACGCTGAGCGCCGCATTATAAACATGCCCCCAAACATTAATGCATTGCAAACGAATGTAATTCTGAATTAGTGTTTAGGCATGTCTACAAAATAATATAAACAGACGAGATATAGAAGAGAGAATTTAGAATCAGAAACACACCATGCTCACCAAAGTTTCCCCCTAACTAAAATTTCCCAATTACAAAATCCACCAACGTCAGCATGCAATTTTCCTGTAATACATATTATATAGCACTCTAAATGACAGTTACATTAATTTCACCGACTTTATCCAATATTAAGTGCCTAATTCAGTATTTATTGCTGTTAGTTGCAATGAGATGAAATGCCTCAAAGTGCACAAACTCCAACTTTGCCTATTTTCTATGCAAGAGAGCAATTTCACGCAACTTCTTCCACCCAAATGTAATTTACACATTTAAGAAAATGTAAATGCTGCATCACGAATCGCTTCACTCAAAACTCAAATAATGTCACAGGGAGAGACAATATATGCTCTTGAGAATATTGCATGAGAATTTCCACCACAGAGAAAACCCAACTAATAAAGCAAAGGAATGTGGCACTAATGCGAACAAACACACAACGCATTCTCGTGGACAGCAATGCTAAAAGTCAAAGAGGAATACTAATTGCGAGACATACCATAAAAATCAAGGGAATGATCCTGGAAAAGTGAACGGAGAATGTTTGGAAAATTGCATTCTTTGCATTCACTATCACACTGGCTATGCCAACCCACTTTCTAGGCCAATATATACTCGAGATGGGATGGCAAAAGAGGTCCGGAATCGATTGCATGCCACATGAAAGTACACCACACAAAAGTCCTATGGGAATAAGAGTGAAAAAAAAATCCACAATGCAATTAGAAAATTCCACGTCAGTGAATTCGTTTTTGCAAACTCTCTCTCTCTCTCTCGGAAATAACACAGAGAATATTCCCTCTAGGAGGCTATTCCCTTTCATGTCCTCCTCTTCTCCGAATTGCAATCATTAAAGTCAGAGGTCAGATGGGAAGCTGTTAACCCGTGACCGAGAGAAATGACAGTCACGTCCTGAAATCTACATAAATGCTTCAATTAGGGATGTTGGTTCAGCGCACTCTGGGATATTCGCAATTCATCCTCAAAAACCTTCCTTCTCTCAATGGTTGTTATTCGTTGTTAAACAAGAAAACCTCGCGGTGACTGAAAATTTCTCAAATCAACAAATTGTTGGGTATTGAACAACATGGCACAATATGAAATTGCATTTCCTGATGAAAACTGCTGCCGCCAAACAAATTGAATTGTAAAAGACGATAAATTGAATTGAAACATGAATAATGGAAGTGTTTATTTGTTGCCACACCCCCAATGCTAGCCAAATTGCAATCGGAATGCTCACTCGGGGTAGTTCAATTTCCACCCTTTTGCCATCGCATAAATCCACCACAAATCACGGTGAGGAAATGAAGTTGAACTAATGTATCATATCACAGAAATTCATCCCTCGTTTCTCCCATATTTATATTTCTATGTCTATTTATTCTCTCCTCTTGCATACAGAAATTACGCAAGGATAGAAAAAAACATTCACTATGCCAAATTAAATTCTCCTACTTTTGTTTCATTCAGTTCACGCAGGAGAGCAAAAACTTTCTCCTGCGGTTTTACACGAGTGAAGCCTTTTTTCACTGCCTTTCGGAAAAGTTCCAATAGGAAAAACTACACATAACACACAACATTTCTGCATACATATTTATGCAAAAGAGAAAACATACACACGCTGAAGTGGGAAAAAATTGAGGAAATATCCAACTAAGGAGAGTTTATTGCATCCATATATCTCAAGTTATTTTTCCAAGCTGATAGTGGAGAATTTCTGCGATAAACCAACTCTGCATCGTCATATCATAATAGACTTTTCAGCTGTACCAGAGACACGACAGTTGCTTTCTTTGGTGTCTTCATTCCATTAAGAATTTATTTTGTACATCTTTCTTTTTTTCCTGACTCAAAAAAGAAATTCCACCAACCAAACAATCTCTCGCAAGTTTCCTCATGTAGCCAAAGAACTTCTCTCCAGAAGCATCACACAGTCTCGCCGACGTTAAATGGGTCTGCGCTCCGCGAGGAAATGAGAAGGTGGCCAGTGAAAAAAGGCGGCAGCAGACAGATAAAAGCCCAATCTATGTTAGTTTGGAAGATGATGATATTCTCATGCACACCACGACAATTCTTCTCCCCCCATCGGGGGTGGTGAAGTAGTCTGGCGACCCGGGAAAACACGAAGAAGGTGGAAAATAGTGTAAGATGAGAGAGTGTCCTCCTCACAAATGACTTTTTCAAGTAACACACAGCCACCTCGCCGTTAAAGAGAGTCTCATGCGAGAAAGTTGTTGATTGCACAAGCCTCGCCACCCCTCAAGACTATACATATCTCGTGCCCTCGGGGTGAAATTTGAAAACCAAACTAGCAAAAATTACATTAGAACCCTTTTTCCACTTCACACACTATCCAAACTCTCGACTTCTTCATCTTGGCGTCCTTCATGAATGGAGGAGAAATGCTTCTGCAAAGAAATTTCTGCACACTCAGCTCACATTAACTTATCTCTCCCCAAAACTCCCATCCCAGCACTATCTCGCCCCATATTTTGATAGCTTCACGAATATCTCTCACACCCTCCACACAACCCTCACTGAGAGTCATCGAGAGTGTTATTTTGGCGTCTGAATCAGTGGTTCGCAATCAGTGCTCTAGAAGCGTCGATATTTGCCCAAAAGTCTTAAAAAAGAGACCTTCTTTTAAACATTTTGAACACTACAAAAGAAAGACTCCCTACGTTTATCCATTGTAAAGAGATTTCCATAGGAATGAAATAATTTTACAACCCCTTGAACTGAAAGGTTATGAACCTCTGGTAGACACCGAGAAGGAATGAAAGTTACGGAAATTGTGGCGACTTTTGCATGTGGAGCCCGTAAATAGGAGAAGCCATGAATCACAACAACGTTCATTCGCCCTTTTGCACCCTTTCCACCCCGCAATTTCACGCACAAAAACAAGAGGGATGGTGAAACTGGCAGGAAGTCGTGTGAAAAACAAGGAGAACATTTTTCAGGACAGCTTTTGAGAGAGCGCAGAAGCGTTTAGCCAAGATTGAATAGATGTAAAAGAGCAATTGTGTCACTCATGAAATATGATTGATTCATCAGATTTTCATTTCCGCTCTTTATAACTCAACACACATTTGTGTTCTTGTGACATTTTTCAATTGTTCACAAATTCTTGTTGTATGTTTTCACGATGGGAATAAACATTTTTCCTCCTGAAAGCAAGAATCAATTTTTGAGAAATCTTCTTTCACTCCAGCTGTTCTGCTGTCTTTCTGCAATTTATTGCAATCCCAAAGACTGTCCACCTGTTCTGTCCGAATTTATTTCTGTAAATATCCCTAATTGAATATGACATGGTCTCATTAGTCATAGCAGAAAATGATGTGAAAAAATTGAAAAATTTATGTCGAGGCATTATAAATGACTCTCTTTCTGTGATATTTTCAACTTCAGTGAAAAGTTGAAGAATAAAAAACTTCTCACTCCACCTTGGCTAGTTCCCACCCGGGAAATATGAATTTTTCTGACACGCTGAACGTGAAAAACGATTTTCGGAATTAAGTAGAATTGTGTCATTCACATTTGGCGTGTGTTTCGCGAAAAAGTGTGCGTTTGCTTTTCCAATAATACAGTGTGAAAAGGTTTTCAAATAAACAATTGAAATAAATTTGGCAAATTGGATTTAATTGTAACTGAATAAATTCATAATCTATCCTGCAAAAATTACAACAACACACACGTCAATTGAGACAATAAGCCGCATTTAATTTATCACTCTGGCATTTATGAGTATTGAGTGAAAATTTAATTTGCACATAACATAAACATTTCCCAGAATAATGGTCTCATTGCAGAGTCAGAGGAATAATAATAAAAAAATGTTACAACTCTATGAAGTCATTTTTTATTGAGTCTGAATATGGTGAAATAAGAGCAAAATGACTCATTTTTCTTTCGAATCTCTTCCCAGCTTACTCACTGGCATCGGCAAGAAGATGCTACATCTGTGGAAATGGCTCGGAAGAACCATTCCGCACTGGACGTGGCCGAGAAGTACGCGAGGCACGCATCAAATCGTCAGTTTCATGCACCGAATTCGAGAGGAGTTCATCCATGGATCAATTCATAATGGAATGTCCGGATGATTTTGTCGGGTGCATCACACAAATCGATGGTAAGTCATGTGCAATTTCAACGAGAACATGTTGTCTAAATGAAATTTACACCATTTGCACACAAACACATTAATTTCACTGGCGCCAATTCTTATTAAGTAATCTTCCTTCACTCTCTTGAAGTGTGTTTCTAAATTGAGTAAACTTTAAAATATTGAGAGAAATTCAGACCCAATTTAGCACGATCCAATTAATCATCTCATGACTATAGAGATGCAACAAACTTGAAATTCGATAACCACGCAGTAAGTGTACACTTAACGAATGAATTTACATCTTGTAATCACCCTCGAGGGGTGATTGACTTGAACAATTTAATTAATTTTCGAGTGACGTTGTGAAAATCAATTATTTGTCCGTTATTGACTAATAAAAATGGCACATAAATCTTATTTTTTTCGCCAAAGAGAAATTCATCAAAAATTGAAAATGACACTTGCAAGAAAAATCAATTAAGGTGTAGGAAATTATTAATGATTTCAAATGAACTCTTTGTCATTCAACATACGCACCAATGATCATTATCATTATAGAAAAAATGTATAATGAGGAATTCATATGCAAACATTTCCACTCTCAATTGACTTTCTCTCCCTCTTTCGCTCTTTTCAATCTCATTCTCTGTCAAAATCATGCAAAATTTTAGAGGCGTCACGGACAAGTGCTAATTTTGACTGTCTCAAAAGTCAACTTTTCAAATTAATGAACCACACAAATACATAATTTCAAATGCAAATTCAACTCAACGCAATGTTGACTCTGCGCTCAAAAGTCATCACGCAATGAAAGACTTTCAATTGCATTTTTTTTTTGACGAATAATATAAATCAAGTGCAAAGACATCCAGGAAAATTTCTTTCCATGCAATTTAATATACATTAGAGTAGAAAATCATGTTCTCTTCTCTTCCTCTGTTATGCACAGGTAACGAAATAGTGCGCACTTGCGACAGCCTCCCTCTGAATGATTGTCAGACGGCAAATGGGGTGAAGTATTGCTATTGTAACACGGACTTGTGCAATGGGAAATTGGTGACACCACCCACACGGAATGTAAATGAGAATCATCGCAAGAATCATCGCTCTCACGATGAAGACGAAGACATCACGGATGATGAGGACTTCATGGAGGCGTCAGGACTGGGAAGTGACCCGTCATCGAGTGAGGGCGGCGACAGAAATACCCTTGACAGGAGCAACTATGACGATTCGCCGTGGTCCACGCCAAACATCCCACTCACAACGCGCCACCCGAGCCCAAAAGCGTCAAAAACCACACAAATTCTCGTCAATCTACCAATATTGACTCTCACTCTGCTGCTGCTCTTGATGGCGCAATGAAGAGGAAATTCACTTTTCTCACCACTCACAAATAGCGTTTCCTGTGCAGAATGTGAGGCTCGATTGTAGTGGAATTATTTTGCATTTTTTCGCTTTCCTCGCGACGCTATTTGTGACAAAGATTTGGCCAATATTGTTGGAATATGAATTTGTTCGCGCTGTTGGAGCAGCGCGAAACTTTTGAGGATTGCCAAGAAAAGGCTTCTGAATACATTTTTGTGATAGTACAATTAGGAATTTATCAATTTGAGTTTTATTCATATTTTGTTGAAATTATAAATTTCATCAGTAATATTATATAATTTATAGACAACTCTCTAGGCGAACCAAAACCCGATAATAATAATTGTAAACTATATAATAATATATTGTTTAGGAATCCTCTCCGAAATTCTGACTGTGGATAGAATTTCAAGTGAACATTGAGATGATTGTAATAACCTTTTGAAGAGCTCAATTTTATTAGTCAATGTCAAAATTCCTGACAACTTAATGAGGAGATGTTGAATAAATGTTGAGGTTCACAGCGAGAACAAAAACAATACCACACCACGTTGACGACAAGTTGAAGCTGATAAATTTAAAACTACTCGCCGTGAATAATCATTTCCTACCCGCCATCCTTGATTCTGAGTTGATCCATCGAACGCTTCAACAGTGGCCACTCTTCAAATTTGCATTCGGCCAAAAAAGTGGAGCTAAAACATCACCGACTCTCATTTAAGTTTTGCCTAATATGATGAAGAAGAAAAAAAACACTCTTCATTGTAATGCTAATTATGTGTTTGCTAATTACCACTCTTTCATCTTCTGTTGGCCATAATAGAGTTTTTCGAATGCTTCCAGGCAAAGCTCGCTGAAACAGCGGGAAATATTGAAAACATTCGCCTCATTTTTGCCTGTGTGTATATTTTAGTCAAAATATTTAATTATAAATTCTATTTATTTTCGCGCCTTTCTGCATATTCTGTATATATTTAATGAGATTCTGCAATTTTTCATGTGTGTATATATTGGTTGAAAATCAGTGTCTATATAAGGATTTATTAATGTGTATAAACTTGAATTATATTCAATTGCAGTAGGGATTAAGCGTTTAAATTGGTTTATATTTAATTCTATATGCAATTTGCAAAATGCTCTTCTCTGTGTTTTTGCCCAATGAAGAGATTTTTTTCACTGAATATTGCAACGAATTTCAATTCCATACATTTTTAAGTTTGTATTCTCATGTTTGAGAAAGGAATATTTTTTCTGACTCTAAGAAGAATTAAGATTAGCGAATATGTATTACAATATATCACTATAACTAGAGATTATTTAATATAACGAGAAAAGAGAGTGTTTTGAAGGACATATTTGAAGAAGTTTATTGAGCGACGTAGTGGCGTAATGAGTAAAATATTAGTCACCACAAGACATATTTAGGAGGTATAAAAATTCGCACATTTATGACTGATCCCATTTCCTCATGTTCAAGAGAATTTCTTGGGTAAATAACCATCTCCAAATATGTTGACAATTTACAAGGTAGGATTTTCAAAGTCAAACTATATCGTCTTAATGATCCCACAATGTGCAACACATTTCAATGGAAAGCAGGTAGTAATTAAAGACGAGTGAACATTTGTTCTTATAACACATCAATTTGCCAAGAAAAATTGTTCTTAAATACCACAAGTAAATTAACGTAAAGAAAACATGCATTTTACAGCAAAAAGAGAGATGCAATGAAGTCAGAGAAGCATGTGTAATCATTATAATAAAGACTATGGAAGATAATTGTATCCCATTCTTATATTAGATAAGATTAATGAGCCAATCAATAAAATGAGAACTAATCACTTTGAAAAACCCTTCATTGATGGCCCAAAACATTGACACCAACAAAGGGGAGAAACGCTGAGAACTCTCTGCGTCTTATCTCAACACACTTTCCAGTAGTTCTGCTCCTGCCTGTCGAATTATTCCGTCTAATTTGAACAAATTAGTCCCCAAACGATAATCTCTGAAATTGGCCCCACATTTTTTCGCCGCTTTTTCCCACCCATCCAAAGCCGAGGAGTCAGAGCTTCACTCAGCGGATAAATGTCATTAATCAAGATCTGTATCGGAAACCCAATTGATTCATGACTCCTCAAACTCTCTTCTCAGCCGCGTCCGCACTGGAAATTCCCTTTCCGCCCGACGAAGGGCGAACTCGCAAGGTAAGTTTGATGGATACAAAAAAATCATTACAGTCTCTCACTCACACAAGTGGAGCGCAATTAAGGACGGAAGATGAGGCGAGAGAAATTTTATCTCAGAAACGAATCGAGTGAATTTGAGGAGTGTTCTTTTCCATCACATTTTTGTTTAAATATTCCACCATCAGATTGAAGATATCAACTTCTAATTAAATTGTCTCATGGGTAGAACAACACATTTTGTGTAAAGCAAACTCTGCGCGGCGAGTTGACTAAAAGGCAGACTGAAACTCAATAATTGGCAAACTTTCCAGTGTCAGCCAAAAGTATTTCCCAGAGATTAATTCTCGCGGTAGGGAAAAAAACTTGGCAAGTTTCTATGTGAGAAAAAAAGAAGGAAGAATCTTGCAGAATCAATAGACAACTTAATACTGAAAGCTTTTCACAAACAATACTTCATTCAATTACCAAGACTTTTTGTTGTAATCCAGTAAATGATGATGATTTAAAGAAGATTCTTTGCCGTTCAATCAATTTATCACACAAAATAATCCATCATACAAAGCGAGAATGGAAGTGAAGTGATCTTGATTTTTCATACACACGAAAATCAATCGTCCTGAAAGGTTTGACGAACATCGGCAAAAGTTTAACTGCAGAAATTTTCTCATATAAGAATTTAAGGGAAAATGTCATAGTCAATATAATTTCCTTTCAGCGCATCATGAGGACAAAAAGGATGGAAGAATTGCAAGTTTGATCTTCTCAAATTAATCATTTTTTTGCAAGAAATTCCGTAATGAAATTCCATCTCAAACACATTCCAATTGCATGGAATAAGTGTGGAGTGGAGAAAATCGATTAAATTGAAAAGAGAAGCCAGAGGGAGAATGACAGACACTATAATTAAAAGTGTCATCTCATGTATTTAATGAAGAGTATGAATCGAAAGGCTCCTTCTACTTCTCGTGTATTGCCAAACATGCAAATTCAACTCCCTGAAAACTCAGCCTTCGTATTTTGATGAGGTAAAGTTGAAGTGGACAGAAAACATGAACTAGTAATTAACAGACTTTTGCAGAGCGACTCTCTGGCTTGATTGAGTGTGGAAAATGAGAAAACGCTTGTATGGGAAGAATATTAAACTCAGCGACTCACCATCAAAGAGCACATCTTGGTAGTGGACAAACTCCTTCCTCACGTTCTCCGACTCCTTCCTCTCCCACTCTTCGCGCATTTGCTGCAATTTCCGCCCAGTCTTGAGGAGATCGTCCTCTTCTTCATCTTCGTCCTCCTCCTTTTCCGCCTCTTCTTCCAGCAATTTCCCTTCCTGCTCCCCTCTTCTGTCAATTATCCACTTTGGCTCCTCCTGAATACAGAAAAATAGTAATTAGATTCACCAATTATTAATTTATGGCATTCTATCATTCAAATACTCACTCTATTCGCCAATCGATCCTGAAGATTCTCCGCCAGCGACGAGTCTTTCTTCTTGAAGAACTCCAAATCCTTTCGCAGACACTTCCTCGTCCTACCCAGGCAATCTGTGTACTCCACCCAATCTTCCTGAGGATCGTCGCTTCTGAAATCCTCCTCATCGAATTGCTCTCCGTCATCGTCATCAGATGACGAGGAACTTTGACCCTTTTCCACCTTCTCATCCTGCCTCTTCTTATTGAACATCACCAGACAGTTGTCGTCGGAATTCAAGAAGCCTCCAGAAGCACTCATCTTATCATAGAATTTACTCTTGGCCTCAAGAATCCGCTTAGATTTGTTCATCATCTCAGAATCCTCCACTTCAGTTGTCTCCGTTTGCCTCTCGGTTTTGCTGCTTTTTGCGGCTTTTTCGGTTTTGGGGAAGTTCTTAGGCACAAATGTCGCAATTGATTGCTGCTCCTTGGCCACATTAACTTCCTGCTGCTTCCGCAGGAGTTCCGCTTTGAGGCTGAGAAGCTACAATGGAAGCAATGTAATCTAAAAGTGACTCTTCATTTACACCTATTTTTCTACTCACCGACGATATGTTGACATCAATCTTCTTATTAGGGTCATTCATTATGATGTAGAGAATCTATTTCCTTGTCCACTGAATTCTACACTGTGATTTTTATCAATAATTTAGCAAATTAATTTCACTACACTCGAATACGCGGATTAAAAGTTTGGGGAAACTGTCAGGGAACTAAATAAACGTGAAGTTTGGAAAACTTATTGGCAAAAGCGCTCCACGTGGGAAACATCAGCAACTTTAGCATTTCACAGAATTTCCGCATAAGCGCTGTTTGTGTTCCAGAATAAAAACATGGCGAGAATGCCATTGTGTTTTAAATGAGTGTGAAAAATCTCATATAGTGCAATAAACAGTGTGAGAAAGTCTGATTTTCTAATGCTGGACTTGAGAACAAGTGTTCACACACGTGGTGGGATGGAGTTTTAGAGTGATTGAAAGCGTGCAGAGGTGTTTTCGTGGAACAAAAGGCAAGAGGACTTCCGGGATGATGATTGATTTTTCCTTACTTTTGCGTCTCTCTTCCTGTTTTCTATTTTAGCATTGTCCGCTGCGAAGAAGTGGAATATTGCAATAGAGGATGCACAGTGGCGCTGTTGTGAGGGAGAGTGACGGGCGGGACGGCGGGGAGGAGGTGATGGAAGCCTCGGCGGAGGTCAAGATGCTGGAGTGCCTCACGGAAATCACTCAGAACCCGGAAAAGGTGAAGAAGAGTGAGTCCAACACTGCAATGACGAGCAGTGTGGCGAGCATTCTGGACGACACCACGCCCAGTGACTCGGGCGTTCACCTGCTGGACTCGGAGAGCAGCGAGTTGAATGAGTCCATCATGTCCAGCAGTGGCTTCGACTTCGATGGAGCATCGGCTGAGGGGAAGATCACAGCTCAGACCATCTGCGAGGAGCCAGTGGTGTGCGAAGAGGAGAAAGCTGTGACTGGCATGACAAAGAGTGACATTGAGAACTCCAATGTGATGGAACACTTGCCGATGGAAGCGTGCGGAGACGCTGGTCAGCAGATTCCCGACGAGATGGTCTCGAGTACTTGCTCAACCTTCGACACGGAGGCCATTGTGTACCGCCGGCGGGTGAAGAAGGGCAAGTCTGGTGCTCAGAGTGCCCCCAAGAAGCGTGTCTCCTTCCACGAGGACATTCTGAAGAACACAAAGACGGACAACATTCACATTGAGCACGGATTCATCACGTACAAGGGCGCGGCGGCGAAGAAAGCGCCGCACGTGAGTCGGTATTCTTGGTGCTCTGAAGGCGATGGAGATGATATGAATGAGAACAGCCAGTATGTCTATCGGAATGCGTGCTCCGACGTGTTGGATTACGGGAAGACGGACATTTATGAAAATCCCGTGGCAAACTACATTCCGTACGATAACTCGGGCATTTTCGAGTATGGACCGCAGTATCGGGAGAGAGGAGAGCTGTACAGATGCCACTGTTCCGACTCCAACTCCAGCCTCGAGTCCAATGAGGCGGATGAGCGCAATTCCAACCAGAGGAGGAACTATCAGCAGGCAAAGTCCAGCTCGTGTGACTGCATTGGGAGTCATCAGAACAATAATGGGCCGATTATCACAGAGAATTGCTACTTTTCCGAGCCGAGCATGGACACAATGCGTGAGAATGGAACTCAGCAGAAGTCTGTGTGGAATAAGGAGAGGAAGCCGAAGAGTAGTTGCCTGAAGAAGACAACTAAACACACAGATATCATCAATGAGTATAACTTGAATGGCACAGTGAAGAAGTACAACATTCATCAGTTGCCAGAAGTGAATAATTTCATTGATAGCAAGACAATTTTTGGGAGTTTGAAGAACATATTCAGTATTCCGCTGCCGGAAAGGGGTGTTCCTGAGGGATCTGAGGATCTGCAGTCGGTGTGTGAGTGTATTCCGGAGGGAGACAGTCGTCCTGAATCTCCTGTGCGTCCACGACCGTTTCTCTCGAAGAGTCTCGATCAGGGATTGACGAAAAAGTCGCCCGGCAGCAAGAAGTACATTCACAATGTGGACGAACAGCTGCGCCGGAAGAATGATGCCGATCTCTATGCTCCGACGACTGTGGAGAGTCGCAAGAACAGCACAGATCTGCTGTCCAGTGAGATTTCTCAAATTACCGACAGTCAGTCGACTTACAGGAACAAGTTCATTATCAATTGCGAGAGCACAGTGTTTGAGCACACGGGCGTGTCGTATGAGGCGCAGGATGGGGAGAAAGTGGTGCCGTTGGTGAAGGATGTTGAGGCCGAAAGCACATCTTTCCTGGCAGTTCCATTCACACGGAAGCTGAGCAGTATCTTCAGGGGCTTCAAGGAGAGTCCACCGAAGCAAGAGAGCACAAAATCTCCCTCTGAGGAGGCAAAGTTTATCCTTGTGGGCGCAACGGCTGATGATAAGACAGCCAATAAGCCTCCATTGCCGACAGATGCTGGAAAGAGAGGAGGAGAAAAGAAGACACGAAATGTCATGGAATGCAGCATCACATCGAATTCAAGTGATAGGAATTCGACAATCTCAGACATCACAAGTCTCACGTCCAGCACAGCGCCAACCAGTGAGCGTCAACTGGATGGATTTGCCAAGATCTTCGGCGATGGATCGCCACAGCACTCGAGACACTTGGCGTCGCCGGTGAGGAAGAAATCTCTGACAACAAGACCACCAGAGCGTCACAGAATGAGTCCGGATCTCTTCAATTCCGGACGTGATTCGAAGAATACGATGCTCTCTGAGGAATTTGACGATATTCTCACCATAACAACTGATGCCAGTGATAAGCCAGATAGCGATATGGTTATCGTTGACTATCCGGATGTGACAATTCCCGATCGTCCAGAATTGAGTGACTTCTTCAAGCCGGCCACGTCGAAAACATCCCTGATCAATCGCTTCCTGCGCCATGTGACGCAGAAGAAGATCATCGATGCCACAATCAAGAGAAATCAATTCTTCCTCTCGAAGATGAGTGCGGAGAAGAAGGTTTGCGGGAATTTGTATGTGAAGGGCGTGAAGCCGAGGAATCAGGAGTTGATTGAGGATCTCAATGCGGAAATTGCGCTGGAAATTGAGATGTCTGGCTATCGTCAAGGGCGCCGGGAGCGCTGTGAATTGTCACGCTTGCACATTGACATGGGCGTTGGTGAGATTTCTGTTGAGATTTTCAATGGCAATTGCCTTCATATCTTGCGCAATGAGTCGGAGAATCTCATGAAGGTGAGACTTTTCTCAAGGGAGAAAATGCTCTTAATTTAACACATTTTGCTGCTGTCTTTTTCAGGTCTTCAAGCTGTATGCTGGCTACAATCGCGATGGCACAATGACACCAGTTCTGGTTTTCCTCACGGACAAGACTCTCTATGTGACGGATTTGGTGCGGAATCGTCTGTGCAATAAATTTGTGCTTCCCTACTCGGAACTGGATGTTATTTTGGTGAGTAGGCAATGTGAGGAAATCCCTCGGGAGGGAGTTGTGTTGAAGTTTCACCACCCACTCAGTTGGTGGTTGGGTGAATGCGATGGCAGAAGAAGGGTAACATCTGTGTTGTCTCCATTGGGAGTTTTAAACTTTTCCCATGTCTTGTGCATTGTAATAGAAATGTGCTTCTATCTTGGCTTCACTATGATTTAAATTGAATTATGTGAACTTTAAAGAGATGTAAGAGAAGTTTTAAAGTCGGTATTTTTCTTATTATTCTCTCTTTCTCTTTCCAGATGGGACCTTGTGGGAATACAGTGCTGTTGTGCAATGGAGCCAGAGATATGCAGCAAGTCCTTCTCGCTGGTGGTCCTTATCCTGCTGATGCTCTTGTCTCTAGTTTGGAGATCTGTGCTCGCCGTGGAGGCTCAATTTTGCCGGCAGTTGGACAATTGACACTTGATCACTTGGCGCCATTGCAGGCTTTTGTGCGTGACAATTCGTCGATTCCCAAGGGAGATGCCTGGCAATATTATGCAGTGGTGAACATTCCTGCGGTGGGCTTGAGTCTGGAGAAGGAGCCGCTGGGGCCGTACGTCCGAGGGCCGCTGATGCACAGGAATTTGAGTCAGAATGGTGTGGCACAGCCTTGGTATGCCAGCTATTTTCTCCTCAAGGCTGGAGTGCTATATATGTTCTCTGATGCTGGTCAGAAGATCCCTTCGTGGGCCATTGCCCTGACAGAGTGTCAGGGTGCCAGGCGGGCCATCAACACCACTCGTCCGCACTGCTTTGAGTTGATGCTGCGCACTGGAACACTCCAGTTGGCCGCTCCGGATGAGTATGTGGCGTCTGAGTGGCTTCAAGCACTCGTGCAGTCGGCCAGTGGTTTGTTTGAGATGCAAGAGAGACACTCAACACTTGGCTGCACACTCATCATGACGGCCAATCACTTGATAACACTGCGTGAGGACTTTGCAGCGCCACTGAGGCGGGTGAATTCTGTGTGTCCCAAGTCGCCGTCGAAGGAGAATATCGATCTCAATGGACGCACACTGTCGCCATATGACTCTTCCAGTGAATTCAGCTCCACCATGAGCACACCGACGAGGAATGGCGATCGGAGATCCAACTCAAGCTTGAGTACACCTGTGAGGAATGTGGGAAAGGCCGCAGGACTTCAGCAGCTGTTGAGTCCTCAGCGCGATGTGGCGAGCAGTGAGAAGAGTTACTCCAGCATGAGTAGCTTTTACGGGAAGAATTCAGGTGTTGAGATACTCACTTGTGCGGCAATTGACGAGATGGTGACTCTGAAGATTCCTCTGGCGCCCAACAATTGGTGGTGCGTCTTGGTAAGTGGTCTCTGGAAAGGAGGGAATTTTGTGTGGGATATTAAAAATGTCTTTACTTTTAACAGGAATTCTCATGTCAGGAAGTGCGTGAAAATTCAGATGATTTGGTAATTTTCTTCGCCACCAATTCAGAGATGCGTCGCTTCTTGTCGATGTTGGAGAGAATGTGGCAAGCGAAGAAGGATGATCAGTTCCCAGTCACTCTCATCTCCGATGAGGATCTCGTTGGCGAGCATTGTACAAAGTTATTTGGGGAGATCAACAAGTCCTGGGAACCTCTTCTCTCCGCTGCACTCGGATATCCTCAGTAAATATCCTCTGGCGCTGCTTTCTTCGTCCTGTGTTGAGCCAAATTACGCTTTTGTGATTATGTTTGAGTTTTAGAACTTAAGTTTACTGTGATTGTGATATTTTTGCGTCATTTTTTCGTTGCCATCGAGAGGATTTTTTACTTCCTCAGTTAGGTTCCTGCTTTCTCTGGCGCTCTTCTTGCACTTTTTAACCTAGAAGAAGATGAGCAAGAATTTTACCTATTATAAATTACATATATATAGAGAGAAAGAGAAAGAAGGTTATTTCTAGTCCTGACAATATATATTCTCGAAATGTTTCCCATTGAATCTCATTCTAAAGAAGATTTGTGAGTGCAAGATGACATTAGGTAATCGGCGGATATTAATGGAAGGAGAAAAAGGCACAATATTTATTCACCCAGAGAGATGAGAAAAATGTGGTGGTTTTACTGGCATATTTAAATGTTACCCGATCCAAAAAGTAAAATTGATAACAAAGATATTAGAATAATTAGCAGCAATTCTATCAAAAATACTTAAAAACTGAATAATCTCACTTCGTAACTACTCTAAAAAAGGCTTCGTAGCTCTTCTATCCTACAAAAAATAGGCAAAAATATTCATATGAAAACATGAAATTCTTCCCTTTATTTGTGGTATTTTCGCCTCCCCAAAGAACTCTTTTCAATCCAGTCTAGAAGGGTATTTTTGTTACAAGCCAAACTCATTTACAGACAGATTCTCATGGAGGAGAGAATCAGAAACACACCCGAATTCATTGTTGAAGGGATAATAATTTCATTTTACTTAGAAATTTATTGAATCATATAAATCAAATGGTAATTCAAGTATTGATGTTATCTGTATTATGAAACAAGTAATAAATGATATAACGGAAGGCAGTTGGTTTTCAGTTCAGCTCGAGGTGGGACATCTCAAAGTCCAGATCAAAGAGCGGGAGCATCGGCGGTGTCTCGAAGGTGAAGCCTGAATCGTCGACCGGAGACGGCGGAGGCATTCTGAGCTCGTCCATCTCGTAGAGGTGACACTTTGGTGGCTTCTCCTCTTCGGGATCAAAGCTGAGTGTGTTCTGGATGATTTCAGAGATGTCACAGTCTGTCAGACAGTTGTCTGCCCAGATGCTCCTCAGTGATCGCTCATCCTCCTTGTACACACTCTCCGGGAAGTCATTGTAGATCATCTCGGGTGCCATTCGAACGCTCTTCTTTGTGGACCTCTTCGCACTCTTCCTCATGGGAATGCCAGGCGTCACGAAGGAGGACTTCTTGACGACGCTGCCGGTGGGATTGTGCAATTCATTCACAGGAGTCTTGACGATAGACTTCACATGTCCATGATAGGGTGTCTTTGGCGCTGCTCCCATCGGAGTGTGGTGTATTGTGTTCTTGACATCTCCCAGAGCGTTCTTCTTCTTTTTCTCCGACCTCTGAATGCCGCCTTTTCCTGGCAGAAGTCCCGTTGGAACCTCTGAAACAAAAGGCATTTTTTATACGACCTTCATTACTCACTTTAAACCCCATTTTACCTGCATTTTCGTCGTAATTCACACGAAACATGACTCTGCAGTCTCTCTTACTATACTCCAATACAATTCCACTTCGCAATGGTAGGATTTTACGAGAAATTTGATGAAATCTTTCGCCTTTTCAGCGTCGTTCGTTACTCCGACTCAACTGTTTGTCTGAGCAGCTGATGGTCGACTGAGATTCCCCTACTTTTCGAACCACTCTTTCGCCACATTTTGCCGCTGGAGGGCGACGCAATTTCGAAAGCATATTCTTGTAGTTTTGACTGCCGCCATTGATGGTGTTGTTTCGTGTCGCGTGTGTGTTTTTCAAGAGTTTTCCTGAATTCGCAGTGTTTGCAGAGTGAAGAAATGGCTCCAACAATTCAGAATGGAGCCAGTGGGTCTGACAAGCGCCCACAGAGACAACAAGAGAAGAAGTACGGCAGATTTTGTGTGGATTTCGCGAGGAAAAAACTGATTAATTCTGTGTTGATTTCAGATCGGAACTAATTTGCCGCGTGAAATACTCAAACAATCTCCCGGATATTCCTTTTGACTTGAAATTCATCACTTATCCCTTCGAGAATGACCGCTTCATTCAATATAATCCCACATCCTTGGAGCGGAACTACAAATACGACGTCTTGACGGAGCATGACCTCGGTGTCACCATTGACTTGATCAACAGAGATCTCTATCAGGCCGATCCCTATGCCCAGCTCGATCCGGCGGATGAGAAACTGCTGGAGGAGGATGTCCACACGCCGCAGGACTCCATGAGGTCGCGCCAGCATGCGAAAAGTGTCTCCTGGCTGAGGAAGTCTGAGTACATTTCCACCGAGCAGACTCGCTTCCAGCCGCAGAATATTGAGAAGGTCGAGGCGCAGGTGGGCTACAATGTGAAGAAAAGTCTGCGCGAGGAGACGCTGTACATGGACAGGAACACCCAGATTAGGGCCATTGAGAAGACCTTCCAGGACTCAAAGGCACCCATCATGAAGCACTACAGCAAGCCAAATGTCACTGCCGTGGAAGTCTTCCCGCTCTTCCCGGACTTCAAGAACTGGAAGTATCCATGCGCCCAAGTCATCTTTGACTCCGATCCCGCGCCAGTGGGCAAGAATGTGCCTGCTCAACTCGAGGAGATGTCTCAGGCCATGATCAGAGGTGTGATGGACGAGAGTGGCGAGCAGTTTGTGGCTTACTTCCTGCCCACAGAGCCGACGCTGGAGAAGAGGCGGAAGGACTTCGCCAGCGAGGTGCTCTATGAGGATGACGAGGAGTATGAGTACAAGATGGCCAGGGAGTATAATTGGAATGTGAAGAGCAAGGCGTCCAAGGGATACGAGGAGAATTACTTCTTCATCGTGCGCAGCGACGGTGTCTATTACAATGAGCTGGAGACGAGGGTGAGGCTTAGCAAGAGGCGACAGAAGATTGGACAGGCGCCCAACAACACCAAGTAAGTCCTGCTTTGCTTCTGTTACTCAAAAGTGAGGATGCTTCAGCACTTTCTCAACTTCTTTCCAGGCTTGTGGTGAAACATCGGCCGTTGAATGCATCGGAGCATCGAATGCAACGCTATCGCGAGAGACAGCTCGAGCCTCATGCGGAAGAGGATGAGGAGGAGATGGAGGAGCCTGCGCCGGAAGAGATCAAGCCCTCCGAGGAGGATACGAAGCGGAAGTCTCGCTCACGTTCCAGATCACGATCTGGCTCTCGGGCAAAGTCCTCTGAGAGTGAGGGTCACAGGAAGAGTGAGAATAGCAGCCCGGAGAGACGTAGCCGCAAGAATTCCTCGGGCAGCGAGAGATCTGGCTCGAGAGCCTCGTCCAAGGGTTCAGCTTCGTCTCGCAGTCGCAGTCGAAGTGGCACAAGATCGAGATCAAGATCAAGATCAAGTGGATCCGAGAGTGACCGGCAGAGTGTCCACTCGAAGGCCTCTTCCAGGCGCTCTCGCTCCAAGAGTGGCTCCAGATCACGCTCTGCATCGAAGTCCCGATCTCGGAGTGGCAGTCGCAGTGGCTCTGGTGAGCGACATTCTCGCTCCAAATCTCGTTCCAAGTCTGGATCTCGATCGCGCAGCGGATCGTCACGCTCGCGATCAAAGTCAGGCAGCGGAAGTCGCTCACGATCTGCCTCTGCGACTGGCAGTGATTCCGAGTAATTTGTATAATCATGTAGTCCTTAAAAAATGCTGAAAATAAATTTTTCCCCTCCTGAAAGTCGCATGTTCGAAAGTGCTAGAAAAGCCTTGGGCGAGCCGCCATTGCTGTTCGAACTGTCACGGAGGCCCTCTTTTGATCCACGTTTTGTGTATTCGCCAAGCAAAATATCATGAGCTCGACGATTTCTAAGAAACGGAAGGTAAATCCTGCAATTATACCCACAATTTGTAGTGCAATGTGTCCGGGGAGGTTTGATCTACAGAGTTTGATTGTTTTTGGGGTGGTCTTTCGAGTATTTCTCAGGAAAAATTGTCTTGAATCTGCGGGTTGAAAAAGTGGGGTTAGGGCAATAGAGTTGGTCCTTCTGTGGTGAAATTCTTGCCAATAATGCCATTTCCCTTTGCAGTTTGTCTCCGATGGAGTCTTCAAGGCCGAACTGAACGAGTTCCTGACTCGTGAATTGGCCGAGGATGGCTATTCCGGTGTTGAAGTGCGAGTCACTCCAATCCGGACAGAGATCATCATCATGGCCACACGAACCCAGAATGTTTTGGGCGAGAAGGGTCGTCGCATCCGTGAATTGACGGCAGTCGTACAGAAGAGGTAACTTTGCCACTTTGTACGATTCAATGAGTTTCCTTAATAAATTCTCTGAATGGCTGTTTTGCAGGTTCAACTTTGCTCCCGGAACCATTGAGTTGTACGCCGAGAAGGTGGCCACTCGTGGTCTGTGCGCTATTGCCCAGGCTGAGTCTCTTCGGTACAAGCTTATCGGAGGTCTGGCCGTGCGTCGTGCCTGCTATGGTGTGCTCCGCTTCATCATGGAGTCCGGAGCGAAGGGATGCGAGGTCGTGGTGTCCGGAAAGCTGCGCGGACAGCGTGCCAAGTCGATGAAGTTCGTCGATGGCCTCATGATTCATTCCGGTGATCCGTGCAACGACTACGTGGACACGGCGACCCGGCATGTGCTGCTGAGACAGGGAGTGCTGGGCATCAAGGTGAAGATCATGCTGCCGTGGGACGCCAACGGCAAGATGGGCCCCAAGAAGCCTCTGCCCGACAATGTATCCGTGGTGGAGCCCAAGGATGAGCCAACTGTCGTCGTGCCCACCTCGATCCCCGAATACAAGAAACAGATTGAAACCACCACGACGGAAGTCGAGCCGCTGGCTTAAGACGTCCACATGCGCGGGTATTCAATGTAAGGAATAAATTTCCTCGAGGAAATGTGAAGACTAAGCCAGGTATTATTATTTCGCTACAAGTCTCTTTATTTTTTTCCACACAAAGGACACGGCAAAAAAGCACTACAAATAATTTATATAGAAAGCGAAGAAAATTCTTACAATTTTGATGAAACCATGTAGTCCATAAGGTAATTGAATGGCAACAATTGACAATAATCGAACAGAAGACGCCGGATCTCCCTAATACTGTCGGTATTTGCGGTGTAAACTGTGAGATCAGAGTTTCTGCGGAGGAAAGAAAGCCAAGAATTAACAGATGGTCTTAAAATACGCTGAGGAATTGGACTCACTTAGCTTTTGTGACACATCCTAGGCTGTTGAGGGAATTCAGGGCGATGCTGAGACTGTCCAGGGACAAGCAATAGGGATGGGTGAATGGTTTGTGACTCATCAGAGCCTCTTCAATGTGTTCTTGCGTGGTGGCGAAGAGTTCTTTCTCGCTGAAGCCACTGCTTGGAAATTTGGTGTCAATCACTTGGGTGACTTGAAGGTAACAGCAGATAAACGGTGCCACTGGCGTTAGATAGTATCCATCGACGGTCGATGGTTGGTAACTGATTTCTCCTTGAGCATCCTCATCGCTGAAGACATTGTAGTTCTTGAGCAATTGAACGTCTTTGGCAAAGTCTCTCTCATCGTTGACTGTGTAGAAGACAAACTCATTGGCAAAGATGAGCCTCAATTTCTCCACGCTTTGCAGCAATTTGGCCATGGAAGTTCTCTTTCTACCCTTGTCAGTGAGGTGTTGGGCGCAGAGAATGGTGATAGCCACGGAGGAGCACCAGAAGAGGCAGGGATTGATGTAGATTTGCAGGTAGATAATCGGAAGTGTGTTCTTCATGGTGTCTTCAGTGAGCGCGTGAGCCTTGAACTTGAGCCTATTGACATCTCTGAGAGAGATTCGTGGCTTCTCCAGAATCACTCGATCATCTTTGTCAATCTTTAGGATATTGCAGTGAATCCTCAATGATTCCTTCACCACATCTCTGATTTTTGACGCATCCACCGCCACCACGGCTTCCTGACGCCTCAACAACCCTGCGAGGATTAAAACACCCTCGCAGAGCTGATCGAATGTCGTTCCCTCGCCCAAATACATTCTGTAGCTGTAGTAAATGGCGATGAGATTGAAGCAATTGATGACAATTCGTCGTTGTTGGCAATTCACAACATCATGGGCGAGATCATAGATCAGCGCCAGTTCATTTCTGGTCAGATTCTGCACGTGAGCCGGTTCCAGGGCATGTTGGAAGCGATTGAGGCTGTCGCCAAAGTATTCCTTCACGGAAATTGGCGTGCCAAAGTCAAAGAACATGGATCCATAGCGATCCTCAATGGTCAGCACGGACTTTATCAGTCCCATTGTGGACTCCTTGGGCTTGGGCACGCCCAGCAGTTCGTAGACAAAGAGCTGCTCCTCCAGCGGACGCTCGTAGGAGATGCTGACCGGGACGATGGTGATGTCTGGCACTTCGCCCATGAAGAGCGGCTCCAGTGCCATGGACAGAAGGCCAATCTTTGGCGGCAGAGCCTTGCAACTGCGACTCCTCGTGCCCTCGATGAAGAACTCAATGCCCGTGTGATAGGCCGTCACGAGGGCGTGCATGTACTCCTTGAACACGTACCAGTAGAGCTTGTCCGTGGCGAATGTGCGACGCATGAAGAAGGCTCCGGTCTTCCTCAGCATATTTCCCATGCCAACCATTCCGTGGAAGTCTGCAAAATGCGAGGATTCATGGAAATTAATCTGGTGGCGAGTGAAAAAGTCTTTCCTTACCCATTCCTGCAGCAATTCCCGGAATCTCGAGATCATAGGTGAAGCAGAGGTAAGACATGAGGATAAAATCTGCATAGCTTCGATGGCTGGGCAGATACAGAACAGGGTGACTTCCCACTTTCCTCTTCACATTCTCAATACTGCTCTCGTTCACGTAAACGCCCGTGCAGATCTTCTTGATGGTCGATTGGATGCAAATTCCCAGCCATCGGATGACTGGAAGACTCCTGGCCAGTCCAATTTCATCCAGCATCTGTTGCACTGCCACAGTGAGTTGTTTTCTCTTCTTTTTGTCATTTTCACTCATCTGCAAAGTGCAAAATCGCAAAATCTATGTGATTTTCAACTCTGGACAGAGACGACAAAAGATCAACAAAGATTCATTTTGGAGGGAATAAAGCACGAGATAAGAAAATTTATTGTTTCTATCAATTGGAGGGATTAATGCTTTCTTGTCTCTCTCTTTCTTTGAGTGATTTTCCTCATTATTTTTTAGGTCACAGACATTCCATAGAGATGATGTCGTGGAGAAAATCATGCCTTCTATTTGCCTTTCACGCGATGATGAACAGAGAGAGACGAAGAGCAAATAAGGCAAGATTAATTCACTCCAAACACAGACTCACCTCATCGAGAACCTTGAGGATTCTGGGACTCCGCGCGACGAGCTGCTTGAGCTGCTCCGGCGTGAGATATCGATCCTTGCGACATGGTATCAGTGGATCCCACTTCTTTCGCAAATTGGGCAGCCGATTCCCCAGCAGAAGATTCTGATATTGCTGCAGGTAATCCATCGGTGGCTTATCGTTATCGGTCTGTGACATTTTTGCGCGCACTGCTCTGGGAATTTTTCTGACTCTGATTCACGTGGTGCCCTTTTCAAATGCTCTCTCTCACACTCTCTCGAAAAAGTGTGCACCTTCCGCGTGTCCAGCAAAAGTTAACTTTCACCTGTAAAAAATATGAGAAACAGATTTCTTTTACTGCTCACACAACACTGTTTTTTCTACTGGCATCTCACGCCGGAGCTCTTTTGGGGCCTTTTATAAGAAAGGTGTGTTTTCCTGACACATGCAAATGACTCCGCGGAATTGTGCTTCCATGAATTATTCACCACACAAGCGCGGATAGACGAGGAGAGGGCGAGGAGGTTCAGGGAGACAGTCAGGCCACTCGTGGACGCTAAATAGACATTCTAATGATTCTAATACTATGTTAAGAATAGAATTGTGAGAACAGCGCCCGTCCGTGATCACATCACGCTCTATACTGAGCCGCTGATTCCAAGCGCTCCAAGGAAATAATCTTATCAGCTATTTCTTCCAATGCTCGGCGCTCACTGGGGCGCTTCCAGAGGGAGAATTTGAAGCACTTACAACAATTGATCGATAAGGGAATGACTAAAATGACCTCCTGAAATGCACTGCTGACAAAACCCGAAGCACTTCTCACTAAAGCTGTTTTTTTTGCCTATCATCTTTCCACTTTTTTTTGCCATTCATTCATATTTCATTATTGCTTTTCATGCATTTCTATTAACTGTGCGAGCAGTAAAAAAACAGAATTGCCTTGTGTGGTAAACATTTTTTATGACGGAAGGTTTGTTTTGACGAATTAACTTTACCTGCCAATTTACAGTAACTTCTGCATGATTTTCGGCTATGAATTGAAGCGAAGCGTGTAGGAATTTGCCGGTAAGGCGCAATCACAGCTCACGACTGTATTTGATAGTGTACAGAAGTATTATCTCACTTGATAATCAATCGATACACTACATGCAAAAAGCACGCACCGTCCCGGAAGACCGACCATCCATCGGACGACATTACACCTTATGCGTACCACTGATAAGTGTGTCTTCTTCACAACAAATAAACGACAATGAGAGGAAAATTCATTGTCAATCACTCTCGTACAAAAAACGTGTGTTCTTCTAATTTCTGCGAGAAGAAAATACCCAGAAATTGCTTATAAAAATTCTACAAACAGTTTCATTCATGCGTTCAGCTCGGTTCTTCCATATGATTTTCGCCATCAAACGTTCCAACTTCGCCGCCATTCGCCGTATTTTGTCCCGTGAAATTCCGTGTTTTGTTTTGCAAATTGTGCAATAAATTGTGTGTGAAATGTTGTGCAATTTTCCTGGCTAAATCTCACCCATTCGGCAGTGCTGAGGGTGTAAAAAGAACCCCCTGGGGGCGACAATGGCGTCGGCGGAGGAGGGATGGGTGCATAGTTTCTCCATAAATGAGATTTCGCGACACAAGAAAGGCTACACAATCTACAAAATAACATCAATAGTGAGTCAGAGACTGTCTATTTTCCTTTATCACATTGCTCAATCTTGCGCTGAAATTGTGTCATTTAGGTATTCCCGCGATTTGTGCCCGAGGCACTGTCGTGTGTGACAGTGTGGAAGCGCTTCAGTGAGATCAAGACGCTCCACAAGGAGATACACCGTCGCCACCGAGCGCTCAAGTTGTCCGGGAAAGTGCCTAAGCTCGAGGACAGATACTTCTTCCGGCGATTCGACGCGGAAGTCATTGGCGAGAGGCGTCAGTACATCATTGAGCTGCTGGAGTTCGTTGCCATGCATCCGGCACTGTATACGAGTGAGGTGTTTGTGAAGTTCCTGCGCGGCGGTCACACGCCGAACACCTCGCCAAGTCACAAGGGGAACATCGCGGCGATCTGCAAAGATCTCTCCATTCCCTTCCAGTCGGACGTTGCCCTGATCGATCCCACGCGGGATTGCGAGGCGGACAGTGACATTGTGTCCATTGACTGTGTAGATTCCTTGTCGAATGCTTCACTGGAGACACTCACCAACTGTGACTCCCTGTCCAGGCGGGGCTCGATTGTGAGCGAGGAGGGATCTGTGACCAGCGAGGGTAGATATTCACTCCAGCTCAGCATTGCTCAAGACATTGACTACTTCTTCGACGCCGCCGTGGACTTCAGCCGAGCAATGCAGGCGGAAGTGAATGGACAGTACCAAGAGAGCTTCGAGTGCTACAAGAAGGGTATTGACACACTCCTGACGGGTGCTAAGCAGGACAAAGACACTGACAGGCAGCAAATGGCTAAAGACAAGGCCACCAAGTATCTGAAAAGGGCGGAAAGTGTCTGTGAGAATCACATTGTGAAGAAACCGCAGAGTTTTTCGCCATCAGAAACTCAACCGTATTCCCTGGAGCGACCGCTGGGTCACTTGTCGCGCTACAAAGTGGTGAAGATTGTGGACACGGTGATGCAGGTGCAGGATAAGACGGACAAGAAGATCTACATCATGAAGGCAATTGAGAAGCCACAGAGCAGCTACTTATTCCTGGGTGCTTTTCTGCCACACAAAATTCCCTACATGGTGTCCTTGATGGCCTATTTTCAGTCAGAATCTTCCATTTACTTGCTCCTCAATCAGGCGCCCGGGGGAAAACTCTATGACTACATCAGCACTTACAAGCCAGGAGAGTTTCGGCCAGAGGAAGATCCTGAAGAAGTCAAGAGAGTACCTGAAGTGACGGAGGAAAGCAATGAGGAAGAATCTCATGAGGAACACCCACAAGAGGAGATGGAAGACTCTCCTGAAGAGGAAATGCGCATTCCGCCACCATCCTTTGACATTCTCTCGAAGGACATGGATGTTCTGGATTTGGTGTACTGTGCAAAATCTCTCCTCAAATCCGTTTCCAGCACTCTGAAGCAATCCAAAGGCATAGGAAGTGCCATTGAAGCCATTGAGGAACTTGTTCTTCCATCTGGTCTCCAAGACATTCCTGAAGAGGTGGAAAATCCACCAGAAGAACCCAATGCTGAGCCTCTAGAGGAACTTCCCGAGGACGTTTCAGTGGAGGAAGAAGACGAGACACCAAAGAAATATCCCATTCCTGAAGGATGTGTTCGTCAGTGGGCCAGAGAGTTGGTTGTGGCAATTGACTCTCTCCACAGGCACAATGTTATCTGCTGTGATCTCCATCCGGACAATGTGCTGCTCGGGTCATCTGGGCAGCTTCTACTCACCTACTTCTACTGTCGCCCTGATGCCACAGAGAAGTTCCTCAAGGAGGAGTCCGTGGCAGGAGGATATGTGGCGCCCGAGAGACCACTCACAGAGGTGTCAGACTGGTGGACAGTGGGAGTGATTCTCTTTGAGATTCTCACCAGGCACGCCTTCATAGCCCTTCATCCAGGGGAGATTCTCACTTACTATGAGGTTCAGTATCCAGAAGTGGAGATCTCCGATGAGGCCAGGGCTCTTCTGGATGGGGTGAGTGACGCTTGACCTCATTTCTTTAGCGTAACATTCCAATTTGTGCTGTTTTCGCGATAACACACGAATTGTTATGCCTGATTTTTTTGCTAGCTTTTACCACTGGAATATCAATGGAAAACATATTATGAAACCCACATTTTATCGCTGAGTAATTTGAATAAATTTGCTGTAATTGCTAATGACACATTCACGTGTCCTTGCAGCTGCTCCAGGTGAATCCCAGTGAGAGATTTGGCATTGACGAGGTCCAGACGCACGCCTTCTTCCGCGACACAGACTGGGAGAGTGTCAGATCGCTGGGCAGCCACTCGTAGCGTCCACACACTTAATTCTGAGTAATTTGTTCTCGTATTTTATTCTTTAACAACACCGTGATTATTTTAGCGAATAAACTTGTCAAATTATTTTCCTCGTGAAGGAAGTCAATATATTAATCTACTCGTCTTTTTTCCTGGTTATCAGAGATGTGTGATGAGGAGGGTGGAATTGTCAGGAGAAATGTAGTCAAAGGTGGCTTCCTGCGATTGCATGACTCTGACAGACTGATCAGGTGTGAATTCTCCAGACACTTGTCCGCCCATCTCATCAGCAGGTACGGCGAAGGTGAAGTGGAGCGCTTCCGATGGCGTGTCTTTCATATGCTCAGCCTTGCGATGAGTCTTCATGTGACTGGCCAGAGTGTCTGTGCGTCTGAAGAACTTGCCGCAAATGGTGCACTTGTAGGGCTTCTCGCCGGTGTGGATGCGCAGATGCTTGGCCAGATGGGCGTACTGGATGAAGGCCTTAGAGCAGAGTGGACAACTGTGCGGACGCACGCCGGAGTGGATCTTCTTGTGCTTCGAGAATGTGGAGGAATTCGTGAAAGCTTTGCCGCACAAATCACACCTGTACGACTTCTCGCCCGTGTGAATCTTCAGGTGTTCGTTGAGATTGGCCGAACGCGAGAAGGTCTTCTGGCACACGGTGCATTCGAAGGGACGTTCGCCAGTGTGCGAGCGCATGTGGACCTTCAGGTTGCCGGCGAAGGCGAAGGCGCGGCCGCAGACGGAACACTGGAAAGGCTTCTCACCCGAGTGCACAGCCGCATGGTTCCGCAGACTCGTGGGATGCGTGAAGGACTTCTGGCAAATCGAGCACGCGAAAGGCTTCTCACCCGTGTGGATTCGCTGGTGTTTTATCATGTCACACTTCTTCCCGAATCTCTTGTCGCAACTCGAGCACTTGTGCGGGCGACTCTCCCGGTGATGTCGTCGCCTGTGATGCTCCAGATCACGGGCTTGCGTGAAGGGAACGCCGCAGACCTCGCACGGTTCAGCCTCGGGTCCTTCGTGCTTCCTCAGATGAGCCTGCAGACTTGTGTCGATGGTAAATACTTTCTCGCAGTATTTGCACGATCTTGGCTCCTCAGTGTGCGTCTTGGCGTGATTCTGCAATGAAACTCTCATTGTGACCCGATTTTTGGATTCGAGATAAGACATAATCATGAAATTACCTTGAGATTCCGGAGCTGAGTGAAGGCCAATCCGCAGAATTCACATCTGTACGGACGATCTCCTGTGTGCCTCCGCATGTGCTTGGTCAGATCGCTGGATTGGGCGAATTTCCAGCCACATTTCGGACACTCGTGAGGGCGAATTCCCAAGTGCGTGCGCTTCTTGTGCAGCGCCATCGTGCTGGCCAGAGTGAATGATCGATCGCAGAGATTACATGTGAAGGGACGAATTTTGTTGTCTCTCTTTTGCCACTGAAGAGTTCCTTGAGCATCATTCTTCCTCTTCCTCTGGACTTTAGGCATTCGATCATCTTCTCTGCTTTCGGGAGGATTTGCAACTGTTTCCTCATCATTTGATACTCTCAAAGTCCCTGACTTGTCTCGATGATTGTCCATGTGATGAAGAAAAGTCCCAATTTCCACAAAAACTGCCGAACAGTCAGGACACTCGTGGTATTCTTCACTCTCATGGACGAGAACATGACGAAGAAGAGAATCCTTGTCGGCAAACTTTCCTGGACAGAAGAAACACTGATGGAAATTCTGGGAATCTGATGGATGATTCTTCAGAGTGTGTTTATGCAAATCAGAGATTAGTGAGAAGCTGTCTAAGCACTCAAAGCATAGACACTTGTCATCTGATCTTTTTCTTCTTCTCCAGGATTTTTCCTTATCACAAAGCCTCGCTTCAAATACTTGATCACATTCTACTTTTGGAATGTTAGTATTTCCTGGGGTTTCTGCAGTATCACATTTGCTATTGATATTGAGCGGTTCAGAAGTGATTTGAGATTTTCCTGCAATTCCGTCTTCAGCATCTTTCCTGTCCGGAAGAACAGGCACTTGTTGAGTTATCAGAAGAGATGAGACAGGAATAGTCACTGTGATGTTGTTCACTGTGCAAAATTCAACAACAGGAGTGGTCATTTTCTTCAAAGCAACGTCGATTTGTCTCTGTAATTGAAGAATATACAAAAAGAAGTGAAATTATCATCAACATAAACATTGTGTGAGAACTCTTAATATTCTGAGGATTTCTACAAAAAGACACTTACATTTTCTGGTAGTTGTACAAACACAGACACATTAGACACAAAAGAATTAAGTTTGATTTAAAAATCAACCCATTTTTTAGGGTTTTTCAACTAGTTTTAGTTTATTTTTCAATTGTAAACAAAACAATCATCACCATTTCTAGCAAGAGCACTTAGTGCACTGTGCTCACCGCCAGAGCACCGCGGCGAAGTGGTGGAAATGCTAGAAAGCGACAGGCCCTCTGGTGGATGTTCCCGACATACACTTGACACCGTCATAACCTCTCCCTTTTCCATACAAATTTTGCTCGGTGTACACGTGTGTGACAATGGCACCAACAGAAACCGTGAAAAAGTCCGTGAAGAAGGACGCAAAGAAGTCCAATCGCCTGAAGAACTACGACCTGGGATGTGGCATCATGCGTTACTCGCACTCGCGCAACTTCAAGCGCAAGGCGTTGTACCGATTCAAGGGTACAAAAACAAGGAAGGCGACCAAGCCGAAAGTCGCCATTACGGTGACCAAGAAGATCGGCGGAGCCAACAACGGCGGTGAGCGTGTGGTGAAGCTGCAGAAGCCGAAGGCGTACTACCCGACGAAGCCGCGCATCCAGAAGCGCCCCGCCCGCCGCCTGTTCAAGAACCACCAGCGCAAGACACGCAAGTCCATGGTTCCCGGACGCGTGCTCATCCTGCTGGCTGGTCGTCACCAGGCCAAGCGTGTGGTGCTGCTGAAGGTGCTGTCGTCGGGGCTCCTCCTCGTCACCGGACCCTACTTCCTCAACGGTTGCCCCATGCGCCGCATCTCGCAGAGGTACGTGATCGCGACCAAGACGGTGGTGGATCTGGGCAAGTTCAAGCTGCCGGAGCACGTGAACGACAAGTACTTCAAGCGTGCCGCCAAGAAGAAGAGCCGCCGCACCGAGGGTGACATTTTCGCGCAGAAGAAGGAGCAGTACGTGCCGTCGGAGCAGCGCAAGGAGGACCAGAAGGCCGTGGACACGGCCGTGAAGCAGGCGCTGCGCAAGAGGAAGGACAGGAACCTCATCTGCCAGTACCTCAAGGCCCTCTTCCGCCTCAAGTCCTCGCAGTATCCTCATCGCATGAAGTTCTAAGATTGACGCGCATTTCGTGGATGTGGAGGAAATAAAGAGAGGAAGACAAATAAGTTCTCTGGGTTTATCTATTTTTCTTCTTCTTATTCAACACCTGCTTAACTTGAGCTACTGTATTTGCAGAAGACGGATCTCACGGTGGCGCGCGTTGCATTATGTTGTGGGGAAATTGTGCTCTAATATTCCATTTTGCTCTATGACACAGAAATTCTCTAGAATTCGCCTACAATCCGCAAAAGACGGGCGCTCCGCCCTAAAGATACTCGTAGAACATGTACCAGTAAGTGCAGTTGAGGACAGTGAAGAGGAACGGGAAGAAGACGCGCGAGAAGCGATCGATGTTGATGGCTCGGCGGAGGCGAATCTGGGCGGGAGTGAGTTTGGGCGGTTCGGGCTTCTCGCCGGTCATTTCCGGTCCGAGGGGGATTGGCTGGAGGGAGAGCATGGAGTTGTCCTGGCGTGGAACCCACGGCACATCGGTGGAGTTGTCGTTTTCCCGCTTGCCGAACTGCGAAAGCAACTGCGTGTGGAGAAGATTCAATTCTCACATGCTCCAAGATTTGGCAAAAGAGAGGATCACTTACGGATCCCCGGCAGACACTGTTGCGTCCCTTCGGCTCCATCATCTTGTCGCCCTTGTCTGCTGCAGATGAGGAGGTTTTGGTCGGTGGAGTGTCGCCCAGGACGATGTTCACCAGGCAGTACTCCATGAGAGCCATGAAGACGAATCTGGAAGGCAAGGAACACTTCTTTAGCCACTCTCAGAGACACTGGGCGGCCACTGACATTGTGCAGACGGACATGAAGGCGTCCACGGCCTTGAGATAGGACACTGGTGGCAGAGATGCTTGGGATTTAGCGTGTTGCGTCGAGAGGGTCAGCAAACTCGTGACTCCCAGAGTCACCCGGGCAGGAGCTGCTTCGGGTTTTATCCAGAAACTCACCCACTGCAAAAGAAATCAGGACATTTGGGGCCAATTCTGGGAATCCTTTATGAATTCATTGGAAGTGCTGAAGAGCTTTGAAAAGTATTTCTTAATAACTTCTCACCGACATGATGACAATTAAGCATGTTGGAACATAGGTGTGAAAGAGATAATAACCGAGACGACGTTTCAGGACGAAAACCACTTCCAAACAGGTAAAATTCCCTGCAAAAGTAATTAGAAAGTGTTAAAATTAGATCAAAGGCCGACAGATTAATTGGCTGTTGAGTATTTGCCATCCAATTTTGCTCTTTTTCACACCAAGTTGAAGAAAACTCGAAGACTACTGTTAAGTTCTTTAAAAGTCCTTCAGGAGAAGGACTTTTGTGTTTTTTAATACTTTTTATTCCATCAATTCTTCAGGATGATTGCGATGAAGCATATGCTTCATGTTGCAGTCAAATTTCGTATCTTTGAGCGAAACAGATTTGAAACTCGTCCGTTTGCAATATTTTCAACAGTGAATTTCACTATCTTCAAATACGTTTTCCCACCTGTTGAGTAGACTTGTGTGCAATCAGCCGTGTAATTTCGCACCAGCGCCAATTGTGGGAGCTCAATATTCTCATCGACAACCAGAGGCACATCCGGATCCCACTGGAAAATCATGTCGTCCGTCGTGTGAGACACTGAAAAGCACAGAATTCTGCATAGAATCTCAGCTAGAAATAATCAGTTTGAATGATTTTGGGCATTACGGCTCTCCATCTGCAGCTTGCATTCCTGAGTATCGTGAGGATAGATGAGGAAATTCATGGCGCAAGAGAGTCGGAGTGTGAGCTTCACCATGTACAGGATTGTCTTATCCTTGTACAGCCACATGTAGTGATTGGGGATGGTCATGGTCTGGAAGGTGACTGACTTGGCGTTCTTGAAGAAGGAGTCCGGACGCCACATGTGCTTCAGCCACTCCACTTCCAGCAGCCGATACTCCGACGTCATGTTCTCAGGCAGTCGCAGCCGGTGATCCTTCCATGTCTGGGCGAAGAAGATGTCCGCGGCGTACGTCTGAGGGGATAAATTGCGAGTATTTCCTGCATTGGAGTGCGCCATTGGCTTACCATGGACGTCTCGTCGATGGAATCCAGGCCCATAACGGTGACGTGGAAGAAGACCGTCGTTGGCTGGCCTTCTTTCTTCGGCGGTCGCATCTTGTCGTAGCTCTTGTGATCTTCCGGGAGGATGTCGTTGAAGGTGAGGCTCGTCCTTTGGGAGAGAATCCAAGAAATCAGTGGGAATCAGGTGAATCGAATTGGTGAGGAACTCACTGATGCTCGCTGCGGCTGATCCTGCCGCACATCAGAGTCAGGAGGAGACAGAAAACAGTCCACCGGATCATTGCGCAGCGAAGGAGTGAAGTTGAGCTGCTCCGCGGCCACTTGATGCACCGCGTGGGTGGCGAACAATGTCCTAGTTACTGGAGAGGCGAGAGACTCTCTTGAGCGAATCAGCGTCGTCAGCGATTAGCGGTGCGGCTTCTTTAAACAACTTCCTGCTCATCCCACGCGGGCGCACGGACAATGTCATCATCAGCCTCCTCGCGCGGGGATGCCAATTGACACAGTGCGACGAGGGTGGCTGACTCGGCAGACTCGATTCCTCGTGGAGGGACAATTGAGCTTCTTAAATTATATCCAAGGAGGCTTCTTCGCTATTCACTCTGTGCATTAAATCACAAAAGCAGGGGAAGGAGAGTTAAAGATATCCCTCAAATATGTATATTTTGCACTTCATTTATGGAAAATGCAGTAAATTTTCTTTCACAAGCATTTCATCTACTTATTTTAGAACATATTTCTTCATCTTTTTCTCACTCAAAAAGCGTGCCAAGCTTTTGTGCCAAGGATGAAATATTACTACTATTAAATTCAACAATAATTAGGATACTTCAAACACTTCAAACACTGATAAATCCTCAAATAATGCAGCTTTTTTACTTAATACTTCACATTCACTTCTCTTCGGCTTTCCTGAGCTTTTCCATCCGCGATCCGCACTGAGAGACAACTGAAGGATTTTCCTCGCGGGAGAGCGCTTAAATAGCTTCCTGGGCGTCCTTCGCAGACAAAGACACCCCCTCGATGTGAAGCAGGTGGAGAGGGTGTGAGAAATGAGCCTCAAAAGGAGACACTTTGCATGGGGAAAATGCTTTTGAAATGTTAAATATGCAAAATTTTGCATTGATTTTCTGTTTCTCAGTGGGAAAATGCATGTTTCTCGGGTGTTTCGTGGATTTAAAATCCACCGCCGTTGTCATAATACACCGATCGAAGCAGAGTGAAGTAGGAAAATGCGGTACTTAGGATCTGAAAGTGTCCGAAGAGTCCTTTAGAATTGTCTGAAAATTATGCAAAGAGTGTGTGTGGATTTACCGCAGTGAAACTCCTCAGCGAGACGATGGAGAATTTTCCCGCCGTGACATATTGAGGCCTCTGAGCTCGCATGAGAATCATCAGAATGCTCTTCTGATATTCCGCATCTTCTCTGTGCCACTGGGAGCAGAAAGCGCCCCACGACAGTGCCTGACTCTGCAAGGAAATCAAAGCAATTCGCCACAATGTGTCGTGAACGTCGTGAAATGAGAGATCAACTCACGGTTTCGAGGAGAACGTTGCCGTAATAGCAGAGACAGAAGACTTGCCACATAGCACAGATGAGGAACATGACGTACTTGAAGAGGATGTCAAAGTGCACGTCGGGATTCGTGGACTGGAAGCCCACGAGGCAGATCATGAGGGAGCTGAGGACGAAGTTGCAGAGGATGGAGAAGTTGTAGATGTCCTCCATTTCTGCGCACAGATCGATCAGCGTGTGGTGGCGCTCGATGGCGCTCTTCAGGCGGGCATTGCGCGATCCTTTGGCCCTCCTGGGCGTGGTGATGAAGGTGAGATGATGCGTCAAGGCCTTGAATTGCATGGAGAGCTGCGTGATGAAGCACCCGAAGAAGAGATCAGTGCCCAGAATCCCAATCATCGACACGAAAGCACCCCAATTCTGCTGCACGTACATGATCATGAACATCTTGGCCGTCTTGGTGGGATTGAAGGGATACCAGATGAAGTAGGGCAGCTGTCGCTTGTAGATCCCGGTGTCCATGTAGTCCATGATGGAGACAATCAGTGGAAGGAGATTGAAGACCCAAATGAGAATCATGTACGAGACTGAGAAGTAAATTGTGATCATGTAGGATTCTCGGCGTGTCTCTCTGATGTGATACTCCTCCTGATCGTCCTCCGTCTTGGGGAAAATCTCCTCGAGCTTGTTCACAATGCGCGTCAGGCGTTTCTGATTCCACCAAATCATGTTCAGCTTGATGAGCGCGATGGAGGAGAAAATCGTACAGGGAGCAAGAGCTGTGAGCTCCAGGAACAGCACTTCATCCTTTTCGTCATCCTTCCACGCAGCATAGAAGTAAATCATTTCTCCGACGACGCATATGAGATGATTGACGTAGGATGACCACCAGTAGAGGGTTTTCAGCCATGAAATCCTGTAGCCAGGATGAGGATCAAAGGGCACCAGACCAATGGTGGCGAAAAGATAGTAGGGAATCACTACGAAATCCCTAAAAGGAATCACATTCCTCCGCACTGTTTTAATCTCCATCGTCACACGCACTCGACACAAGCAATCCTCCTCCTGCATAACTCCTTTTATACCACGAATCCTTTGGCAAATGCATAATTAATCCATTGGGAGTGCTTTTGTGCTTTATCATTAAACTTTCTCAAATTGATTCCCATTTGACGGGAAAATGGAGGCACAATCGCTTAGTAATTCCACCTACGATTAGTGGTCGTCAATTAAAGCTGAGGTTTTTCCAACTTCAAAGAGAATTGCAATGATTTCAGGGGAATTTTAGGAAATGTTGGATTTGCCGAAGACCAAAAATAAACACAAACACTCAAGGATTCTGTTTTAATATTTTTATTAAAATTTCGATTTTACACATTTTTGTTCACATCAAATTTAATTTTATTCATGTCCTTATTTATGCGAATTCTCAAGAAGCTAAATCTTTAATCGCGCTTTGTTTTCTTTTTTTTTCTGTGGATCTCGCGTCAATACAAAGTTTTTTTTCGAATATGAAAGGAAGGAAAATAAAATAGGTAAAATCTTCATTATTATTTTCATTGTTTGGAGGCGATTTTTTCACATCATGGCTCTTGGAAGATACTGGTTTTTCTTATGTCTGGCTTCTTTTTTTTACTGTGGAAATAAAGAATTGAAGAGGCGAAAGAGATTGAAGATTGTTTAATTAATTACTTGAGCATCGTGGAGGAAAAGTCAATGCAATGCCACAAACAGACAAGGAAATGCATGTAAAATGTAAAATGCTTCCACCTTAAAATATATAATTTAATGGAAAGATCTCAAGTTCTAGTGTTAAGTTGACGTTCTTTCTCATTTTTCTTAGAGTGTGTATATGAAATAGTGTATGGATTGTTTTGTGTATTTTGTGTTCCTTCATCTGTAAATATTAAGAAGAAATAGGTACAAATGTACTTGATTCAATGCCATTCACTCTCAAATTCTATGATTCATTTCCAAATGAAGATTTAGATTGTAAAGTTTAGGATTGTTCATTTTCCACCTAAAGTGTTTTCTTGCTCTTAATTCTTATTCTCTAAAATATAAACTTTTATCTGCATTTTTTATCCTCTCTATTCTTGTTTTTTTTCTCCCGGTAAATATATTTTTACTTCTGCTTCATCAATTCTTACTGTTTACCCATTTATACGTTGACTAAAGTAAGTTTAACCCTTAACTAATTCTCTGCTCTCACAATTACAATCATAAATTGGTATAAAGTTATACTTTTCAAAATGAGGTATCATTTACGAGAAGATACTAGTTTTTTTTCTTTTCTTTTCATGTTATCATTGTATGAAGCAAGACTTTTGCTATTTTTCCTTCTCTCTCTCTGTCTTTCATTGATGCACAAAATGTGTAACAATTCTGATCTTTATCAAAAAGGAAAACATGATAATTTATATGCTGAGAAATTGTGATATTGAGAAACTACACAAGAAAACAAGAGTTAATTGCTTGCTTATAAAGTAATTAATATCAATTTATGGAATTCATACAAATCTACGTTAGTTTTCTCTTCGGTTAAAGGTTTTTTTTCTCTTTCTTTCTCTCAAATTTGAACAATTTTGAACACATTTATTTTTCATGTTACATTTTTTTATTTTCCATTCTCAATAATTTTTATTTTCTCTCTCAATTTTCATTTATCAGTAAATGTTCTTTTAGAAAAAATATTATTTTCACTATCGTATTGTTTTTTTCGCTACAATTTTTCTACACATTTTTCTTCTCCAATGTCCAAAAAAAAATCAAAAACAGAAACTGAGAAAGAGGAGGGAATTAATTTTGGGATGCGCAAATTAGAAAATACCCCTTTCATTTTTCTTTTTTTTTTTTTTGGAAGAATGAAAAAATTACTGAATCTCATGTTGCATTGCCGAAGTTTCTACAAAACTTCTCAAAAGCATTACAAATTACAGGAACAAATTCGTCCAAGAGTGTGAAGAGGAAGTTTTACTCATGAATGAACTCTTGTAAAAAATGGCTGGGGACGGAATTTTCTTAAGTTTTTTCTCTTTCTATCTTCCATTCAAATGTCCTTCTTCAGGGAGGATATTTACAAAATAGTAGTTTCTACCTAAGAGGAGACTACGATCTTCTCTGATGGGAATTCATCTGCCAACTCTACTTGTCGTCAACAATGTACAACTCTTTTCAGCTCTTTCGTGGTTTTTTCTTTCATCTCTCTTTGGCCCCGAATTTTCAGCAATCATCCAGTGAAGCAAGAATATGTTGTGTGTGTGTGTGGTTGGAAAATGGAGAAATCTACATTTGATTTTCCTCGAAGAATTCAGTAACTTTGTCATCCTCATCCTCTAACATTGGCGAATGTGTTGTCAAATTAAATACTTTTGCGTAAGGTGTAAATTTTCTAGAGGGAAAATTCTTGCTTACTTTATAAATTTCATCAATTTCTCTTCTTTACCATTGATTAGCTAACAAGTAAAAATTTCCCGCTAATTTCTACTTCTAGCTCTCTTGCCATCCTTCAGCGCTTCCTTTTTTTCAATTTCTCTCTCTCACTCACTATATTTGGTTAACTGTTGCAATATCAAAAATAATTCTGTAGAGTATTTTCTCAATCTCTCATCGTATTTTGTTGTCCCTCAATAGTTTCAATTTAATTAATCCTCTGTCGATTTTTCTTTTGTCCTTCAATTTAATTGTGTAAGAAAAGACCTTTAAAATTCAAATATATCTGCCTCAAATTCTCACTAGATAATTTTACAGATTCCACCATCTCAAATAGCTTTACTTTTCATTTAATTTTCCATCCCTCATCTCAATAGTTTAGAGCTTTCTCTTTCTCTTTAAACACTTTCTTCTTTACCTAATTCTTATTTTTTTCTCATTTTGTTAAGGCATTAAAAATTTAGAGAATAATTTGCCAATTTATGTCCACTTTACATTCACTATAATCTTACCTACAGTTTTTCTTTTTCATCTTTCTTCTACTTCTCACTATAGCAATTACATTTTAAATCTGTTTTAGTTAGTGTTGATTGTTCTCTCAACATATCCTTAATTTAATTCTTTTTCTCTTTTATAACACAATACATTTACTTCTGAGGGAAATTCTTTCTTTGCTTAACAGCTTTTATAGCTTCACAAGACGAAATGTGGAAATTATTTATGGCAGTTTAAGTGAAATGATTTGTTTAGAAGTTATCATTTCTCTTTCTCTTATATACTGTTTTATCCCATTTTACAGAAAAGCTCTGGTAACAATCACACTGACTTGAATGGGGAGAAAGGATACTGTGTTTTTTTTTCTTTCTTTGAAGAATTGTTACATTTCTACATTGATTAATGTCTTTGAGAACAGATACAGGAAAAAAATAAATCCTCCATTTCCATCTCAGAATGGAGCCAAAAATAGTCACAAACATTCTAACTCAATGGTGCATTTTGCTATGGCAAAAGAAATGCTTTTCTTTCTTTTCACATTTGTACTCGCGTAAACTCAAGAAGAAACATAGAAAAACTCAACAAATCGTATAGATTAAAGAAAGAAACGTGTAAAATACCATCCCAATCGTATTCTAAATGCTTATAGACAACTAAAGGGTAACGCAAATTGTGAAAAATGTGTGTCGATTTGGGAGATAAGTGAATTAGATTCACGCCTTGGCGCCGGGCAGCTTCGAGAGCACTTTGGACACATCCACCCCAGTTAGGGCATTGATGGCCGGCGGCAGTTGTCCCACGAGGCGAGTCACGTCACCCGTTGTGCTGTCATTGCCGCCGATCAGCACGATTTCTTCCGTCTTGGCCAGCGGAGCGGCAACTTCAGCGGCAATCTGCAAAGATCACAGCCTTCTTTAGTCAAAGAACTACACAGAGAGGGAGAGAGGGAGACAGGATACGCACCTTGGGCAAGGCTTCGAGAACGATGTTCATGATGGCAGCATCGCCGTATTGTTTGTACACTGCAGCTTTCATTCTCATCCTCTCAGCTTCGGCTTTTCCCACCAACTCAATTGCCGTGGCTTCCGCCAGACCCAGCTTCTTGATGCGCTCCGCCTCAGCTCGTGCCACTTCAACAGTCTGAGTCCTGAAGAATGTGAGTGAGAGAAATTGCGCATATCAGCAATGCTGCACGACTGAACATCTTACGATGGAAGGTAAAATACTCACCTTTTGCCCTCAGCAATCATCTGCACTTTGTAGCTCTCCGCCTCAGCCGGCAGCCTCACGGTGGCATTCAGCTCGCGCTCCTTCCTCTGAATCTCCTGGGCCTCAATTTCGATCTGCTTGCGTCTCTCCACCACGTCAATTTGGATCTCCTCATTACGGATCCTCTGTCTAATTTTAGCCGCCTGCAACTCGTAGGCTAATTGGGATTCGGCTTTCTGAAATGGAAGCGACGAGAGAAGAGAGGGCGTGCAATTAGTGTCTACGGCGGAAAGGTTTCATCTTCGGACTATATATATTTATATATATTTATATGGAATGTGATCTGAGAAGAAGAGAGATGATGGCCAAGGGAGAGCGTGTGTGAGAGGAAGAAAACCATCAAATACCGCAGTGTTGATTTCTTGATCAAAATTCGCCTTCTGCAATTTGTACATCCTCGCGTTGTCCTCGATCTTCGTGTCGGTGGCGTACTTCACGTCCATGGCGCTCTTCTCGCACTCCGCCTCCCGGATTCCTGCATCCCTGCGCAAGGCGATAAAAAGGAAAGTATTAGCAAATGACTCTAGAAATCTTCTCTGCTCGCGCAAAGCGTCTAACCTGTTAGCTTCAGCCACTCCGGCATCGGCGTCACGCTTGACACTGGCCGTTTGCGCCTTGCCCAGAGATTGCAAATACTGGACATCGTCGTATACATCCTTGATGGTGAACGAGAGAATCTCGATGCCCATACGGCCAACGTCAGGTGCCGCCACTTCGCGCACCAACGCAGCAAATTGGTCGCGATCTTTGTACACCTCTTCGACTGTAAGAGTTCCTGCAGAGCACAAAAGAAGTGCCATTGTATTTATTCTTATTCACCTCCAAAGAAATGTGATATTGTTGGCAATTTAATGAAACCACAGAGACACAAGAAATGTTATTATTGAGCTTGGAAGTAGATTCCTTCTATTTTCTAATTCGTAAGACATTTGATTTGCTCTAAATTAATGCTCAATTACCACTCGATGAAAAATTAATGCGATGGGAAATACAGCAGGGGAAAAACACATTGAAGTAAATTGGCAAGAAATCAAAAGATTAACTGCTCACGATTCTGCTTGAATGAGAACGAGTTGAGAATCAAGGAAAATCTTCTCAGACAGATAAGAGAAATATACGCGCCAATAACAATTCCACGATTTTACGCTAAACTCCACAAGATTTTCGCAAAGACAGACGATTTGGCATGATCATTCCATCATACTGAATTAATGAAGCAATTATAAACACTTCAAATTATTCTCGATTTGACCTCAGCGTTCGACTCGCCAGTATCAAAGCGATTATATCATAACTTCTTCACACTGTCGCATGCATTTCAGTGTTGGAAAAGTATAACCAACGCTGATTGAGCAGCACTGTCCTCAGGGTGTCTTCTCGCACATCAAAATGCATTAAGATATGTTTCATTACATTTTTAAAACTCTCAGTGGCTTAAGAAATTCGCTTGAGGTCAACTGTGTAATCATCATTCCCTCACTAATACTCTTAAGCGTTATTTGCAGTGTTGGAGAAACAGCTAAAATCTCGAAATGCAAACAAGTTCAAGTTGGATCTGAGACCAAAACTTTTGAGGTGAAATAACTTGAAGTCATCGCGAAATTTACACTAGAGCGACGTCAAAGTGTAAGAATTGTTCCGTATTCCATCACATTTTATATGGCAATTTTATTACCTTTTTACAACAATGTAGGTAAATCCGAGAATTAGAGACAATTTGAATGCTCCCATCCAAATCATCCTTCACGCGCACTTCAACTTTAATTTTCTGCACAAGAAATCCCCTTGAAGAGACACACAATTTCACCGCGTCCTCACTCACTGATTCCCCACAACACTCTGAGAGCTTTGTGTGTTTGAAAGTTCTTGGCTTTTAATTGGATTCAATTGAAAATATAAACTCATCGCCTCCATTCGCGCTCGGTGTTTTTGCAGCAAAACACTCTGACGACATTCCCGAATATCATAATCTTACATGAAAGCCCACAAGAATAGCGTAATAAGTTTGTGTCGTAATTATTGCAGATGTATCAATTATCACTGGTAAAGTCTCCTCTGCAATCCTCCGTCTGCAGGTGTGATAAGATAAGACACAGTGCGTGATATCGCGAGATTCCCTGACGGAGTCAATTCTCAAAGTGCCTTTGCGGTGTGTCAACATGAAATTCTCGCGACAAACTGATTTCCAGTTCTACGAACGTCTTTCCCCACACAAGAAAATTCTCAAACACCCCGCACTTCATGTGTCGCCTCTGTATCTATCTTCTCTGTGCACAGCAGCGCGCGACACACATATTTGAGTCATGCAAATAATGAATATTGTCGTTTTCGCACGGCAAAAGGAAAAACCACAATTGTGAGAAACAGAAAAATTTTCATTGTTTTCTCCATTCAGAGAAAATCACTGCGATTTTTTCCGCTGAATCAGATTTAACCTCATCAGCGATAAGGACAAAGAATCTTTCAAGCTCTGTGTTGATGGCTTAATGATCAATAAAGATGACTTTATGATGAATATGATGAAAAATAATAATTGCCAAAGCTGGTCATGATTGGAGACACAATTTAATGACCGACATAAATGACTCTTTTGGCAGACGTTCTTTGAACTCTCTGGAATGGTGGCAATTTTCATTACCCGCGCACTTCAATTACATTCAAACGCAGAGAGAGAGAATCGCGACATAATTTTCACCTTCCCTCGAGAGAGCCATTCACTTGAATTATTACATAAAAGTGCCACTGCAAAACGTGTCAGCAATGCGAAAACTGAAATGCATCGCAAGGACATCATTGAAATAAATTTACGTGGAAAATAGAGCATCTGCAAAACAACATTCCGCCCAAAAATAATATCTCAAAACGTGTGTTAAAGATAACTTTCTATGCGACACTTCAGCAGAGTGTCTGTCTCTCTATGGTTTGGCCAGCCAGTGAGGCTGATTTCTCACCTAGAATGGCTCTCAGGTGTCCCTCCAGGGTCTGCAGGATGGTCTGCTTGATCTCCTTGACGGATTTCCCCAGAAACTGCTCACTGGCAGTCCCGAGCAACTCGTCGGCCTGATGGTGAAAATAATACACGTTCATCATCTATAAATAGAATAAGAAAAAAACGCAGGGGATGAGAATCAGCATCCGTTGGCCCGCCGTCGACTTGCACTAGAAGGGTTGGCTTTTACAATTGCGTAAACCTGTGTTGTGTTCTCACTCTTGGAAACTCTTCTACTTCCTCCAAATTCAATCACGTCAAAAAGGAAGAGAGTCAAATTATTGCCAAATTTTCACCACTACGACACAAAGAAAGTTATAATAATAAAAACAATTTCTCATTTCCGTGCTCAGAAAAATAAAGATAAAAAAACTCAAAGAAACAATGAGGAAGAAATCACTTTTGAGAATTTTATGGATTGTAAGAAAACCGAAAAGATCGTCCCCTCAAAGTGAGAGTTGATCGATAAAGTAAAAGAATGGAAAGGTAAAAAACAGTGCATGAACTCGCGGCACACGTTGAAGATGCTTCATCGTCATCCATCCTGCAGCAACCGATGAAAATCTCTCATAATCAACAGATTTTCATTGAATATCTAAATGAAAAAAAAAAATAAATAAAAAGAATGAGTAAATAAAAAGAAACTAAAATAATCCTTAAAACTAAAATCATAGAAATAAATATGGTGAAAATAATATGAATAAAAAGAAACACTCTTAAAATGTAAAAAACCGTGCATTTTCCTCGGCAAAAATTCTCCTTCAACTTCACCAATAATCAATTTCACGCCAAGAAAACTCGAAATGCGCCTCAAACGAGAGCTGTTGTCACAAATCAAAGACATACTTTTCCTTCAATATATAATCATTTCAAAAGTGTTCAATGAAAATCCAGTGTTAAATACTTACGTTAGAGATTTCAAGATTAGTTATATAATGTCAAATTCAATTAAAAATTGTGTACAGGTTCTTGATTTTATAATTTATGTGCGAAATTGTCCCATTGAAAGCATAACAAAAGAAATTTCAGCAGTGATTATAAAATTTTATCAGAGAAACTCAATAAGTAATGAACTGGAGAGTCCATTTAAATTAGTCGAAGCACAATATATTGCAATCATAAGTTCAAATGGTAGCAGAGATTTAGCAATAAGTTTCTCAATGTGAAAAATAAATTGTCAATCAAATGTAAAGTGCATTTTAGAGTGCATGAGAAATACATTTACGAATAATTTGAATCTATTGCAAAAAGTGCTTTCACAAGTAAAATGCTAATAAGATTAATTTTATTGATAGAAAGAAAAAAAAACTTACGATGCCTGTACGATCTTTAAAAAATTTCTATATAAACATGTGTCTTTGTAAAAGCTATCAAAATTGGGAGAAAGTCAATAACTATTATGGTTGTTAGTGAGGAAATTGTTTTTTTTTTCTTATCCACATTTAAGAATATAAACACTATCATGAGAAAGGAAATAGTGGAGCAATTAAAAATGGAGGGAAAAAAACAGCCTCATAACTCTCGATGATTGTCCCTGAAGCACAATTTACAAGATCATAATCACTATTTGATCACCTATAAAAACAGCAAAATAACATCTACACGCATAAGTTCTAAATGGTCATCAGCTTCAACATCTGGAAAACACTCTGTCAATTCAAATGCATATAAAAATACCTAATGAGGAAAAAAGAATGGTTCATTTCAGTATGTTCAAAAGGAATGAATTGTTGGGCAAATTTGCAGGGCGGACAACATGCTAAAGTCCTGAGTAAAGGAAAAAAGAAATTATATAATACAAAATGTCAGAGAAATTAAGGAAAATTAGGAGATCTTCTGGGAAACGTTGCCTGTGTCAAGAGCCATTAGACAGGCGGCATACCTTCATGATCTTGCACTGTGCAACACCTGTAACTGTGAGTGGGACACCCTGAGCCGTCTCCACGCCCTCGCACATCGGATTCAGCGTCATGACCTCCAGCGACAGGCGCTGCACGTCCGTCACGAGCCACCAGGCCCAGGCCCATCCTCCCACGATCGTCCTCTTGCGCGTTGAGCCGCAACATCCGCCTGCAAGGAGAGGAGAAAAGTCACCGCCATTAGCCAAGTGTGCATTTAAACATTTACGCGCTTTTTGCGTGCCACTCAATAATATACTAAATAATTCAAGTCACTTCCAACAGAGTTTAATGCATTTTTTGAACCGGAATTCAACAAGTAGTTATTATTACTGAGAATTCTCCGCAAATACTGCTATACATAAATCTGATACACAAACACATTTCGGCTGTATACAATCGAATTTCCCGTTTTAAGCTTATAACCAGAGACTTGATGTTATTTCAAAAACTTTCATTAAAACACTCCAAGTCTGATTGCAGCAAAGAAAATCTTTAGGCATTCCTTACTCGATCTCTTTCGTCGGTCTCTCTCAGTGACTACGTGATGAATATCATGTGCAAGAGATTAATCGAGAGTCTCAGGAGTGATCGAGTGGCAATGGAAAGGTGTGTGGGAAAGAAGAGCAGACGGCACATAGTGAAAGATCCACACTTGAGCGACTCAATAAAATTCCCATTGATCGCAAGCGCGCGCGCGCGTTTCCTCCAATCCCGTTTCACAGCTGATCTCCTAAAATGTTGCCCAAGTGAGAGACATCATCATGCGCGTCACTCTTTCCACTCTGATGCTGTTGCGCGCGTTGTGATCGTGAACTTGATCTTCATTTGGTAACCCCATCATTGTCGCTGGTGTGTGATCATCAACAGTGGAGCAAGAAGTCAGGTGAAATGCCGTGTATATTTCATCATCTTTGCCGCCGTCTCTGCGCCCGCACTGCTCCGCCCGTCTTCCCCACAAGACCATCGTCAGATGTAGGTGATCAAGTTGCTGCAACAAGCCTACGTGTGCGTTGGAAGAAAATCTTTCTCTCTCAACACTCTTTTGTGTCTCCCCTTCAAATGCACACCTTCGTGCACACACACACGCGCTCAAATGGAATCCCCACAAGAAACATCGCGTCCAATGACTCGATCCGCGATCGCTGGTGGCTTCTTCAGTTGCTGAAGAACTGTTAGTCGACGAAGACGCAAAGGAAGCACACTCTCAAGAGGTGTTTCGCGAGAAAGTTGCATGGTTTTTTTGGACAGTGCTGACGGGATTACTGTGTCATTTTGCCGAGAGAATACAAATTGAGTAAGCTTTTATTGCAAAGCCACGGTCTTGAGCTTTCCTTTCGGTCGAAGAACCATCAAGTGCTCTAGTGGGTTTTACCAAAGTGTCTCTCATATAGAATTCCACACGCTCTCGTCGTCCAGAGAAACTTTTTCGGAGACGAGATAACATTCACTCCACATCAGGATTATACTTTGCATCTGCACCAATAGTTGGAATTGGCGGTTAAAATGTCTGCTCAGTCAGAGTAACGAAATTGCTACAACATTGCACACAAACTCATCGTACAACTCATCATTGAAGCTTGTAATCGAAATCATCACTGTGAGTGCGAGACTTTCGTCGATATACACAAACTCTTTTCTTCCATGAATGGCCAATTTCATCTGCTCAATTGCCAATCGTTTAGGAAAGAAAAGGACCCTTTTCTAGTTTGTATATATAAAGAAGAAGAAGATGAGATACTTTGCACATTCTTCGGCATTCTATTTGGAAACATCATTCAGTGTTTGTGTGTGTGTTTGGTGGAGAGAAATTTAATTAAATTCATTAAATGATTTACACTTTAACTACACATTGAGAATGTTAAATTATGTGACATCATAGTAGAGTTTCTTGGTGGGTTTTTTGCATGAATGTAAAGTCGATGTGACGACAAGTGATGAAAAGTCATGAATAAAAATTCACTCACTAAAAAGAAATTGCCAATAAAATCCTCTCTCAGAAGCACTGTGACCAAGACTGTGACCTATTCTCTTAAAGTAAATTCACGTGACGTATACTTAAAGATTTAAACATAGAGAACTTGGAGTTCATGAAAAATTCATTGTTTAACACGCTTAACACGGAAAATAATTTAAGCATTTTGTAGCTGCAAATTGCATTAATTCTTCAAATTTGCACTACACTTTTCTGCATTTCCTCGCTGAGAAATTCAGTGCTTATAAGCAATCAATAACTCATTTAAAATGGGAAGAAATTATGTGAAATTT